AAGGAGATGGGGGTTAGACGAAGAAGAGGGGAAGATGGGAATGTCGTCAACACCAAGTGTTCAGCACAGGCCCAAATAGTCCCTCGTCGAAATGTCTGAATCCCAAAGGTCGAGTCAGGATCCAATGTCGTCAAGTCTCAAGTCACAACTCTCTCTCTCTCTGTAGTAGTCTGCTGATACTGAGAAGTCAGGTGGTGAGAGGGGAAGAAGAGATGGTGGACATAGAGGAGGAAGAAGAAGAACTCTCTCTCTCTCTCTCTCTCTGTGTCCAGTACTAACCTGTGAAGTTGGCGCCTTGATGCAGGTACCTCAAAGATGGAGCTGGAGCTATGGCGCCACAGGTAAGTACCGATGGCCTCCGCCAGCCATCCCCCTCCACTGCAACTACTACCACCTACTAGCGCCCAGCGCTGAAGACTACAGCTATGRCTATGGGCGCCCAGCGCCGAAGACTCAGCTAGCGCTACTACTACCGCCTAGCGCTGAAGACTACTGCAGCGCTCCTCCTGAGTGCTGCGGCCGAAATCTGAAGACTACCGTCCTACTCTCCAACTGCCTACCCCTTTTCTGCAGGGCGGGCCAGTCCTTTATAGTGCTGGCCCGTGCAGGAGGCTGGCCGTGCCAATGCTCCTCTGGCCTAGACCCTGCGGAAGCTTCCAGGCAAGAGCCTGGAAGTTCCCTGAAGTTTCCCTGTAGGGAAACAGACTGGGCCTGTAGGCCCTGTCAGAAGGAAGCTTCCAGGCAAGAGCCTGGAAGTTTCCTTGTAGGGAAACAGGCTGGCGCCTGTAGGCCCTGTCAGAAGGGAGCTTCCAGGCAAGAGCCTGGAAGTTTCCCTGTAGGGAAACACGCTGGGGCCTGTAGGCCCTGTCAGAAGGAAGCTTCCAGGCAAGAGCCTGGAAGTTTCCCTGTAGGGAAACAGGCTGGGGTTTGTAGGCCCTGCCAGAAGGAAGCTTCCAGGCAAGAGCCTGGAAGTTTCCCTGTAGGGAAACAGGCTGGAGGTCCGGGACGGGCCCTGCAAGGCCCGTGTGGCTGCACAGTATGCCACACCTCCCCCCCCGCACTCCTTGAAGCATAATCAAGGAATCTCAACCCTTCTACTCATACGCCACTGAAGTTGAGGAAGAATACTACACACTACGTTTTTAAATACGTTTGCCTGTGACCTTGGCCACTAGGCCACTGTTTCACTACTTCATGTCGTCAAAA